TTTTTTTAATAAATTTTAGTCTTATCTTTTTATTCTTTCATTTTTTTAGTGGGTGGACCGTCTTTTGGGCATTACATCGACCTTGCAGCAGATTGTTCCAGACTGTCCGGAGGCGGCGGAAGTCGAAGAACAGCTGGCTAAGTTTAAGTTGGATTACGACAATGCCCAATAATGATGTAATGAATGTTTTTTTTTTAATTATTATTGTAAAACATTAAATTGAATGATTTTGTTTTTTTTTTTTGCTAAACTTAAGTTGAACTGATTCATTTATTTATTTTTATTTGCTAAACTTAAGTTGAATGAGAAGCGTCATACCATAACTGAATAATATCGTTCTTTTATTCAAGAACGATTTGTTTGAACAGTATACCACAATTGCAACCTAGACTGGTACTGATGCTCCCAACCCACAACCGATTGATCTCGGTAACGGAACCACATGTTATGAATAGGCGGTAATGGACAATCATCAGTCAAATCTAAACGAATGTAGTGTTCTACGGTACCAAGATGGCAAATGGCAATCTCACGACATGGTCCTCTAGCCGATGATCGTGCAGTGAGAGGCAACACTGTGGTGCTGAATAAGTCGTGCTGCCCACCTTGTGGACCAGAGCTCAAATGAACGACAACCACATTAAATAGTGTCGCAACGGCATAGAGGTCCTGCGGAACTTCGAACCAGTGAGTCGGTCCACAAGGGCCTCTGACCCACCTTACGCGACGGAGTCCGGCCTCGATATCTCTAAAATAGATGTACTCGTACAATTCAGGGTGGTTGTCGACTTCCTTCGCAATGTTTTGTCTTGCATCTGCCCAGTACTTCTGATAACCATACATGTGACTCGCGATGACTCGAAATCCGCAGTTACCATCCGCATCCACATTCAGGTAACTCACTATGTAGTCCAACATATGCCAGGGGATACATTGCCACAATGAAAATGTCGGTCTAAACTCTGCAATAAATATCATAATAATTTCACGTCACAATTTATATAATTATATAAATACTTTAATTAACGCTCAGCCGTATTTAAAAAAAATGTATGACCTTCATCCCCTTGTGACTGTTGAGAAGACGAACTTGTCTGTCCACGCGAAGAATTTGTCGTACGGCTCGATTTCCGACCTCGCGATTTATCGTTGTACTCAAAAGCAGATGGTTTACGCTTAGTTGAATTAGTTTTCTTGGGACGACCTCGCGGGTTATCCTTAACCTCAGGTTCCCCATAATCCTGTTGGTCTGGGTAAAGATGACTGTACATGAACTGATTCACGTACCGCATCGTCGCGGGATCGCGGGTTTCAACCTCAGTCACAAGCGTCTGAAAGAACACCGCATCTGACCATGCAGCGTTGCTCGCCTGACTCGGATGACCAGTCCCTACAAGTATACGATAAAAAAGTCAATGAATTAAAATAAATAATGTATTTTAATACAAAATTATAAATAAAACATTAATTTTAAATTACCTGGCTCTAATATCTCGAGCGTTCTCCAGAACTGGTGAATCATTTCGAGATCAATCGGAACGTCGAAATCATCTGCGTTACGGAGGAGACAGGCACAAGGAAGTCTATGAGTGAGCTGCAATACACAACCGCAACTAGTGTAAACATCGGTGTCCAACTTGTGCATCTTCGTAAGCTCAGCGTCCAATAAACTCAGACAGTAATGCGAGACCCTCAGTATCACGCTCGCGAAACGGATTCCCTTATACCGTGTATTCTTCTTAGATCTCGAGGCCTCAAGCGCCGTCCTGATAATACGTTACATAACGTTAGATTATAATTAATTAATGCAGTAATATAATAACGCATTTAAAAATTGCAGTACGTACTTGATTTCAGTCACTTGATTATCGATATGCTTATTAATCTTCTGCCAAACCGTATCGAGCGCGCCGGTGGACGTCTGAAGCCACTCCTTCAACGCAGAATGGGCACTCTCCACCCTACAGGAAGTTGTGTTTCCAAAATGTGTCACTCGGTTGGTCCAAGCCTTCACAAACTTCTCGCGGTGCACTAACCATGTGCCCTCCACATACCGTATCACCTCTGGATTGTTCGAATATTTTGCGCGCAGCTCGGCAACGGCATCGTTGTAGGCATCGAACGTACTGGCCTCTGCAATCGCCTTCCACGTACTGTGCGTGAAAATCTCCGAGAATTTTTTATTCTTCCCAAATAGTTGGTAGGTTTTGGCTTCAACATCCTTGTTGATGTGCCACGTGCAGAATAAGTAGGCTAATTCAGGAAAATGCCTCCGAATAGGAGTGAGTAAACCCAACTCTCTGTCACTGACAATAACATAAGGATATACGCTTTGGCCTATCAGTAGTCTCAACTTCTCTAGAACCCAGTCGTAACTGGTCTCTTTCTCGTCCCTGATGAGGGCATACGCAATTAGGAAGTTCTGGTTGCACGGCGTCATCCCAATCATCTCGACCAACGGCATCTTGTACCTGTGCAAATGTGACCAAGAAGACAAAAAATATAAGCACATAAATATATGCGTCAACACTTTTAAGATTCATACTAATAAAGTATTTATAAAGTAACATACCTGTTGGTTTTATACGTGGAATCTATACCGACATACCAGTGATATGTCCGGAATAGATTGATCGACGCAGGATGGGCCATGAATATATGCGTCAACACTTTCGTGTTCGGATCGGATTCTACATAAACTGTATACTCGCTGCTTACGGCCAAATGCATAAGCTGAGAAGGAACGTCTCTACCGTCGGAACTCTCTCTCCGCAGCTTATCTCTAAAGTTATATACCTGTCACCGATTAACGTTAATTATAATGATTATTATAATTTAAAACAAAAATTCTATTATATTAATAAATAAAAAAGTATATTAATGCGATTAATTTGATAAAAAAATTATTAACTATCACAATAATAATACATTAGTAAATATAATAAAATTTATTAATTATTACAATAACTTTTACATATAAAAAATTACTAATTATCATAATTAACTTAAAAATTTAATTAAAACATATATTACAAGATATAAATATATATACCTGCCGCACATGAACGTTGTCTCCCGGATTCTTTTCCTTCAACGCGGCCATAATTTTTTTCGGGGCCACCTGAGCGTCCGTCATGTCACGAACAATTCTCTTAGATGAACCGCTGAGACCGCTCAACTGGCTATGACCCTCAGGATACACAGCAAATGCATGGTTATGGTAGCCTTTCTCTTCATTGCTACATCTACAGATCCTCCAATATGGAACGCCGGACACCTTTTTTACTTTGATCTCAAAATTGCAGCCGCACTTATTCGTTTTTGTCCTTCTAGAATTTCTGCCTGTGCCTCTGTACCGTTCGCCTCTATGGCACTTCAAAAGTCTGACCGTTTTCTTTTTGTGGCTCGAAATAATTAATAGGAAACCATTCAGCATTGCCTGGTGTTTTGCAGCTTCAATAGCCTCCTGAGCACTATTATAGAATGTACATGTATCGAAACGTAGACTGTAATCAACACAATCTCCTCCAAAATCTTCCCATGACTCCTGCTATATAGTACAATATTTATATTTTTAGAACATGTTAAATTAAGATAATTAATTCTACGATGTAACATAATAATTTGTAACTCGTAACATGATATTATCTAACGTTCAATTAATATAATTTGTAACTTCTAACACGATCACGATAATATCTAACGTCCAATTTATATTATAATAAACATGTAACACAATAATTTGTAACTCTTAACACGATACTATCTAACGTCAATTTATAACATAACTAAAACTAATATGTAATATAATAATTTCTAACTCGTAACACAATAATATCTAAACGTCCAATTTATATTATAATCAACATGTAACATAATAATTTGTAACTCCTAACACGATAAACGTCCAATTTATAGCATAATCAAGTCTAAAATGTAACATAATAATTTATAACATAATAATATAGTCCAATTTATAACATAACTATTTCGAATAAATAACATAATAATTTAAAAAAAAAAAAAATTACGGCCGGCCGGCCGAACCGGACGGACCGGTTCCGACCGGCCGTCCGGTTCGACCGTGGCCGGTCCGACCCGCCGTACTTTCCGGACAGCTTTGAGCTCGTCCGGACCGGCCGGCCGGATGGCTTAAAAACCGTCCGGTTCCGGCGGCCGGCCGGGCTAAAAGCCGTCCAAAACCGGCGGCCGAACACCTATTTTTTCATACATCCGAATTTGACGACATTGCACCGTACACTTTCCTCTGAGATGTTTAGAAAAAATGAGAAGGACAAAATTATCCAAGGGAGGCGATGACTAGTAAAATGGGGGGCGGTGAGGGGAAATACTGGACAAGAGGGAGAAAAAAATTCGAACATGTTAAAAGAGTTTGAACATCCCCACTTATGTGGATCAGCACAAATGAAAATCTTAAAACAAACAATCTAATTTCACAAAAAATTGAGAAAGGGAAATGTTATTTCGGTTGAGATCTTCCCATCTCGTAAGAACTCACCGCCGTTACATAAAGGTGTCCATGGTTAGATCCATAGCACTGTTGCTCAGTATTTTTTTTTTCAACTATTTTTCGTGCCCCTACTGTTGATGATTAACATACACCACCAACAGTGCAGAATTCCTCTTACAGCCAGTTATTGGGTTCTTCTACAATGAATTGCAACTTTCGAATTCAACTAAAGCTATATTCTTTGATGGATTTCAAAATCTTGAACAATCCACGAGTGCTCTTCAAGCAGAGCTCAGTTTTTGCCCGCTCAGTATCCATATCCTGATGATAATTAAAAAAG